TGGGATCGGGAGCTGGTTTGGGGGCCGATTGGAGGGGGGATCGGGATCAGGGCGGGGGTAGCTGGAGGGGGGAGGCAGAAGGTGGGGGGAGACGAGATCGGTATCGGGATCAGAGGGTTGGGGCGCAGTTGGGGAAGGAGGAGGGGAGCAGAATTGAAACGGGGAAAGGAATGGTCAGGATCGTGAGCGGAATTGGGGCGGGGAAAGGACCGATCATGGTCTCGCAGGGTTGGAATGGGAAGCGGGTAAAGTCGGGATTGGGATCGACAAAGGGGGAGGAGGTGGGCGAGGAGAAATTGGGTTAGGATCTGGAGGGGGAGTGGGTAGGAGAGGGGGAGTCGAGATGGGGACGGTCGCTGTGGGGGAAGGGCGGAATCGAGATCAAGAGAGAAGCGGGGGGGGAGAGACGTGGAGAGCGGGATTGGAGCCCACGGGGTGCACGCTCTCGCTGCGCACCCCCCACTATTTTTTTTTATTTTTTTTTTTTGGGGGGGGGGGGGGGGGGTGTCCGGAGGGGGGGTCGGGGGTGCCCACCCCCGGACCCCCACACCCCCGCCGGGGCCCCGGGGCCGGGGCTTGAGAACACTGGCCAGCAGCGTACCTGTGGACCAGCAATCCTGACAAACAACACTTCATCCACAAAGTGGGTTGGCAAATAGTAACGCTATCGAAGAGGAAAGGAGAACTGGGTCTCCTGGATCCAGCCCGACAAATGCAGCCTCTGCAAACCAAACGGAGATTCAGACTAATCCCACAGAGTAACCTCCAATGGGCACCAGTTGCTTTCAACCACATCAGAGAAATGGTCCATATAACTCCCTGTAACATGTCCGGTCTGTTCTGGATGCTTAACAAACAATGGCCCATTCCAAGAGCCAACAAGAATCATAGCCAACAAACCATGGTCGCCCCAGATCCGGACATCCAGACACCGGGCCTGCACCCGTGTCTGGATTAATCCGGACGTCTGGTAATCCAGACTAGGGGACCTGTTGCGGCTACGCCCGCAATAAAAATGGAATGTTTGCCAAGAAGTTAATGGACTCTCTCTCTCTCTCTCTCTCTCTCTCCTATTTATCTATCTATCTCTGTGTGCGTCTTACCTCTTGCGGCTGCGTGCGTGCACACGCCCACTTCGCTTTTTTTTTTTTTTTTCCCTGAAATCGCTTGTGTTTCCGGTTTCTTTTAATTCCGAAATCGCTCATGCTTCCCTTGTTTTTTTTTTCTCCATTTAACTGATCAGTGCGCGAACGGATTTTCCGTTTTTTTTCACGTCTTTTTTGAAGGTCTTGATCGACCACGGATCAGATATGAAACTGACAGGAACAGATACTACACCTGAGCGCGGGGGGATGGTCGAGTTTCTCTTTTTCTCTCTCTCGCGCGTGCGTGCACTTTTTTTTTGGACCATGGATCAGATAGTACACTTGATCGTTTGGGAGGGGGGGGGAGGCGGCTGGCGCATAGTTAGTTAGACTGGGGTCTCTCTCTCTTTCCCTCTCGCTCTCTCTCTAGTCTCTCCCGCATCTTGGGCGTGCTTGTTGTTTTTTTTTCCCATTTTTAACCGTCTCGATGAACCACGGAACTGGTCGTGGGGGTCTCTCTCTCTCTCTCTCTCTCTCTCTCTCTCTCTCTCTCTCTCTCGGTGGACAACGGGTCAGATATGAAACTGAACAGAGCAGTTACTACGCTTGAGCGTTTGGGGGGGGGGGATCGGATATGAAACTGATCGAAACAGATACTACACTTGATCGTGTGGGGTTGAGGGGCGGGAGGCGGACAGTTTGGTAGGTTGGTCTCTCTCTCTCTCTCTCTCTCTCTCTCTCTCTCTCTCTCTCTCGGGCGCGCGCGCGTGCGCGTTGTTTTCCGTTTCTTTCGTTTTGGATCTCGATGGACCGCGGATCAGATAATACACTTGACAGCAGGTCGTA